CTGACTTTTCACTCTTTGTCGATTTACTCGGACATTTTTGTTTTAATTAAGTGTTTATCTCCTAGAAAAGTTACTCTGGCATCTCAGCTTTCCTTTAAAAAAACGAACGTTCCTAAATTACTCTTCCTTTTTTTTCTACAATGAACGAACACTTCGTCGGTATCGTAGGTTGCTCTTTATGCATAGCGTGTTGCATTAGCCAACACGCCCTAAGGGTACTTGGGAAATATTTTGCAATTTTTATCAATACAGTAAGTGTGAATCAAAAATCTCAAATTGACCCTAAAAAAATGTTTCAAGCTTAAAACGCGATTTTAGTTTCTTTTTTAAAGTTATTTTAAAAAAATTAGAACGAAAAAATAAAAATTTTGGAAAGTTACTTTCATATGTGAAAAACAGTTTTTCTACTAGCAGACGAGAGGGAGTAAAAGTCATTCACTTGTTTGACTTATATGAAAATGGCGGCCTTTTTTTCCATGAGCAAAAGTAACGCATGGTACTAGACGTTTTTTTTGCCCATGGGAAAAAAGGTCGCCATTTTCATTCAAGTGGACAAATGAATGGCTTTTAGTTCCTGTTGGATGCTATCTAAAAGCGCCTATTTTGTGCCTGAGGTATAAAAAGTCAATTTTTCACCAAATCTAATACCTTCTTATGTGATGAGAATGTAAAAAACCATTTCCAACAAGATAGGACCAAAAATTGAAATGTTAAAAAAAGGTCAGACCAGCCCAACTGTGTAAAAAAAATTTCATTGATTTTCTAAAATGTTAAAACTTTTATGAATATACTTTAGGTATAACATTTTATAAAATCAATAAAAAAATTTTAACCCAGTTGAGCTAGCCTGACCCATAAACTTTTTAAAAAAATTAAATTTCTATGAAAAAATGTTATAGAGGAAAATTGTTTGTACTTTTCTAATCTAAAGTAATATAAAGTAAAAAATATTGAAATTTGAAAAAATTGAAATTTTAAAAGTACTGTAGTTTGTGTAATTTTTGACGAAAATGGCTGGCTAACGAACTCGATCTGTATTTTAACACTAACTTTGTGCATGCAAAGTTGCAAGTTGATGCAATAAGTTTTTCAAGAGTTATCGTGGCGACACCATTGTGTCTACAGACAGACACGAAGACAGACATACGGACAGACACTTTTTTAGACCATGTTTTTCGGACTCAGGGGACCCCAAAACGTCGAGATTTCATGAAATTAGCGAAAGTCAATTTTCGACCAAAACTAATACTTTCTCATGTGATGAGAATGTAATAAAAAAATTAGTTTTTTGCAAATAAGTCGAAAAGTTTTAAGTTTAGTGAAAAGTTGTCAACAGAAAAGTTGTAGCTGATGGTAAGACGAGAAAAAAAGTCTCTGGTAGCAAGCTCCCATAGGCAATAGTTTTGGAGATAATTGAGTCGGAATATGGATTGTAACGATAGCGTAAGCGCATTGAAAATGCAGCGGTACCAGTGCACTCGGCAGCGTGAAGGAGAGACACGTACGCGCACAAGCCTTGCGTCGCTGACTCCCCTTCCCGCACCGTCACCGCTCTCTCGGCAGCCGTCTCTCTATATCCCTCGTTGCACGATTCTCAATTTTCAGTTCGCGGCTCGACGCCTCAAGGAGCACTTCGGGCAAGGAGCTTCGAACTCACTCCTCCTAAATACATCGATACCTTCACTCAACGGCCTCTTGGTGAAGCTATCGATGAGAAAGGTTAAGTACACCTGGTTATGGGAGCACCCATGCTAAGGTGAACACCTTCATTCTCTCGACCTGGTCACTGCGACTTCCCTGCGGGAGCTCTCACGAGAAGATGCGGAGACCAATGCATTCTACCACTTGGACTTCCCTGCGGGAGCTCTCACGAGAGGACCTCGTGGTAGAGGGTCACACCTGCAACCTGAAACTCTGCCCCAGGTGTATATAGGAGCACTTATTACACCTGAGGCTAAGCGACGGAGACGATTTCTTCCCTCAGGGAGCACCCTGGATAAGAAGTCGTCCGTTGAGTTTCCTTTCGCAACCCCTGCGCGTCAAGCAAGAATGTCGGCAGCGTACCGACATTGGAGTTGGTCACTGGGTTACCAGTCAGGTTCCGTGAAGGGAAAATTCAATATCTTGAGCTTAGCTAAGCAATGGTTTCTTTTATTTTATTTTATTTACAGGCGAGAGAACTTGGGTGTAAAACCTGCAGGTCAGGGAGAAGTCACTTCGGGGTAAAGCGACACGAGGCGAGACATTTGTTATTATTAGTTTCTTATTTTATTGTTATTTTTTTTTCTACGATTTATTATTTTATATTTTAGTTCTTTGTTTTATATTCTTAATATTTTAGGCTACGATATTATTTTGTTAGTTTACATTTATTTTATTCTTATTTCATTTTACTTTGTTAATTTTGTTATAAACCTTTTATTCTTTATTTTGTTACAATATATTTATCTTTCGAAGGTTTAATTAAAATGTCTCATTATTGACTACACCTCTCCTCGAAATTACAGCAAATCATTTCATAGATGGCGCTTCACGCCAATAACTATGGTTAATTATTTATTTAATTAATATTTAAGGAAACCCGGACTCCATCCGGCGAGCGAATTCCCAGCAAATAAAAAACCCAATCATTACAGGATTTTTTGTTAAAAAAATGATAAAAAAAATATATATACGGTGGTTTTTCCGGAAATTACTAGTTTTTAATTAATGTGAGTGTTGTTTAAGTACAATGGGGTGAGAATATGTGGAAATTAATGTTATAATTTTTTTTCTTTGAGAAATCTTGATTTTTATCGTTATATTCGGATTTTTTAGTATTTTTTTGCTATTTAAGAGCCTATAACTCCGAAATTTGACTTTCTATGAAAAAATGTTGTAGAGGAAAGTTGTTTGTATTTGTCTAATCTAAAGTAATATAAAGTTAAAAATAATGAAATTTGAAAAAATTGAATTTTCAAAATTTTGAAACTACTGTAGTTTGCGTAGTTTTCGACGAAAATGGCTGGATAACGAACTCGATCTGTATTTTAACACTAACTTTGTGCATGCAAAGTTGCAAGTTGATGCAATAAGTTTTTCAAGAGTTATCGTGGCGACACCATTGTGTCTACAGACAGACACGAAGACAGACATACGGACAGACACTTTTTTTAGACCATGTTTTTCGGACTCAGGGGACCCCAAACCGTCGAGATTTCATGAAATTAGCGAAAGTCAATTTTCGACCAAAACTAATACTTTCTCATGTGATGAGAATGTAAAAAAGATGCAAATTTCATTATTTGAGAAAGTAAGTAGTCGAATTTTCTCTATAAATAAAGAAAAAGTCACAGCGGATCAATGTTTCTCAAAGTTTAAAGGTCTTAATAAGACCTATAAAAGGCAAAGAAAGGAAAGAGAGCAAACAGGAGAGGGCAAGAGATATTGGGAGCATTATGACTTGATGCACAAAAAACCCCAAATAAATCCCGTGGCAACATCATCTAGTTTACCTGTCTACAAAGAAAAAAAGGACGAACAAGATATGAAATTAAAAAATGAAGAAGAAGATAAAAAAGACATCAAACCTATGATAACAAATGAAAGAGATAATAAAAGCTTCAAGTCTGTGATCAAAAAACAGGAAAGAAAAAGTAAAAATAAAACTGATGAGGACGAATCACTTCTCTCCTCTTTAAAAAAAATGCACGAAGAAGATATGGAGATAAAATTAAAATTTATTAATATTTTAGAAAATATGCCCGCACAAAAAAAATAACAATTGTCTGTAGAAGTATACAAATAATCTTAATGATTTTTTTTATAAATTTTATAAAATTGTTTTTCACTTTAAAATAATAATTATCTTCACTTCAAATTGACATTTTGTTTATTTTAACATTTTACTTAATATTTATAAACTCCAATTATTTTCAGGACTGTTTGACGTATGCCTTATATTCTCTTGGTTTCAAATTAAAAAATGATATCAGTTTTTGCATTGCAATTATATTTTGCTAGATAGTTTACAATTCCTTAAAAATAAAGTTTTTAGAATAAATTTTAGATATTTGGAATCTTGAAATATTATATATTCTACATTTTTTAATTAAAACCTTTAATTAGTTATATTTAAAAGGTTTCGAGTAATAAAAGTTTTGTTTGAACTATTATAATCTGCAGAACAATGTGCTTTTTTCGCCAACACGATTCAAGTCAGTCATAAATACAATTGTTAAACTTATTGATTTTAACTAACAACGCTAAAGTTCAATTAAATTTATTTGATCCAATGTGATGAAAACTTAATCACATCTCATCTGTTAATAATTTTTAATTAATTTATTAGACAATTAATTTTCAATTAAAAACATTATTTTGCAATATATTTCAATATATCTGCTAAGAAAAAGTTAAATTTTGATAAATTTTAATAACAACGCTAAATTTCAATTGAATTAAATTTGATCCAATGTGATGAAAACTTAATCACATCTCATCTGTTAATAATTTTTAATTAATTTATTAGACAATTAATTTTTAATTAAAAACATTATTTTTCAATATTTTTAATATATCTCCTAAGAAAAAGTTAAGTTTTGATAAATTTTAATAACAACGCTAAAGTTCAATTGAATTAATTTGATCCAATGTGATGAAAACTTAATCACATCTCATCTGTTAATAATTTTTAATTAATTTATTAGACAATTAATTTTTAATTAAAAGCATTATTTTTCAATATTTTTAAAATATCTCCTAAGAAAAAGTTAAGTTTTGATAAATTTTAATAACAACGCTAATATTCAATTGAATTTATTTGATCCAATGTGATGAAAACTTAATCACATCTCATTTTTTAATAATTTTTAATTAATTTATTACACAATTAGTTTTTAATAAAAAACATTATTTTGCAATATATTTCAATATATCTCCTAAGAAAAAGTTAAATTTTGATAACAACGCTAATATTCAATTGAATTTATTTGATCCAATGTGATGAAAACTTAATCACATCTCATCTTTTAATAATTATTCCATGCAGTGTCTTTACTCACACCAAAACGGTCTGCAATTGATCTAATTAAAAAATACATAATATTTATTACACCTGAATTTAAAATTGCATTATTCTCAATAGTTTAGATAAAAATTCTTCGTAAATTTTAATTACTTTTAAAAATTTTATTTAAAATTATTTTAAAAAATCTACATTGTTTTAAAAAAAAATTAGATAAGTTCTACAAAAGCAATTCATTATTTTCAAAAATTTTATTAAAATTCTTGTGCAGTATTAAATTATTTGAAAAAATTAAAGTAATACTATTAACCTTTTTGAATTTGGAAGAATAAACTTGTATTATTTTCATAAATAATAAAACTTAAAAAAAATTAAAAATTAAAAATATTTTTAAAATTTCTTTAGAGGAATTTAATTTTTAGGACATTCCATTATATTAAGACTAAAGTCGTCGCCGACTAATTTACATAAATTATAACATTTTGCAGGAATAATTGTAAAGAAATTAGGATCACTGAACAACAAAAATATTTTAAAGATTTATTACTATTTATTGCACAATAAGCATCTAAAGTATATGTCTCAAAAATTGGTACTTTTTTGTCTATTACAAAATATTGAGGGGTGGGTTAAAGTCTTAAAATTTTTTTATTGCATTTTTGAAAATTTGTTTTAAATGAATGCATAACATCTCCAGAAGATTATGTTAAAATTTCAAGTCAATCAGAGCAAAGTTGATGAAGTTATGAGTATTTTACTTCCGTTGGTGCAGACTTCATGTTTAATGTTTTTTTATTAAATAAACATTTGTAATTTGTTAGCTTTTAAATTTTTAAATATTTTGGAGGCGCCTGAGAAAAATCACATTACCTCGCTCAATTCTTAATATTTTTTATCAAAATTTAGAGAAATATTGTCAAAAAATGTTTCAGTATATATGCAATGTGATAAAAGAAATTATCTTTTCGTATCGTCCAAAAAATTCTTAAAACATGCATTTTTTCCACCGAACAGACCTTCCTCCCACCCCTTAAAGAAATCACATAATTAACTATGAAAATGTTTAAAAAAATTATTGGAGTTTATTAATAATCATTTAATTTATTATAAATGGATAATTTTATAATTGATAATTTAATACTAATCATATCAAACAAGTTTAAAACAAAATTTTAAAGAAACTAAAAATTTGTTTTTCTTTATAAAATAACACCGTTTCATTGTCTAAAAATAATTGCACTTGAAAAGTACACAGGATTTTACATATAATTCATTAAATTTGAATACCATGTATTTAAATATTTAGTGTTTTTCATTAGTTAACTCTCAAATATAAACGATTAGTCCCTCCAAATGTTTAGCCCAAACCTCTACTTTTTTCTATGTACCATTTTAGATATTCCAAATGTAAATAACTGTCTTGGATAAAATGAAAAATTATAAGAATTTCGCGGCAATATCAAATTATAATAATGAATAAAGTCATTTTTAATAAATTCCAATAATTTCTTTTACATTTTCATAGTAAAGTATGTGACTTACCCTACTTTTACATGCTTATTTTACAATAAATATTTCAAATATTTGACAAATTATTTTTGTTCAGTAATCTTCACACCTTTACAATCAATTCTGAAAAATATTATAATTTTTAAAAATTAGTCGGTAACGACTTTAGTTGAGATATAATAGAATTACTCTTCTTTTAAATCTTGTAATAAATACTTCGCAAGAATTTAATGTTTTTCAATACATTAATTTTATATTTCATAGCATTTGAAAATGAAAATGATTAAAATAATTAAAAAACAAAGAAGCAAATATATATTAACTCCAAACTGACAACAGATTACCAAAACTTACAATAATTAAGAATAAAAATTACTACACCTATAAACTTCTTGATTGGCGAATGTCCACATTGCAATACATAATTGTTTTTCTGGTGATAAAGCATTCGGAAGATCACCTCTTCTTTGTAAATTGCCACCAATATCTTGAATAATTTTCTCAAATGTCGTCCGCGACATTCTAAAATGCGCCTTAAAATCTACAGTAAAAAAATCATACTTAATAATTGATACAATTAATATGAAGAATAGAAGGACCCCAAAGTTGGACTCGACGCTGATAATCGAAAAATATTTTTTCCAAGGTTTGGCTTGGAAAAAGTACCTGTAAAAAGTTTTCTACTTCTTAGATGAATGAAAGAAGTAAAATTACTTACAATTAAGTAAATAAATAAAAATAAATCAAATAAAAATAAAATAAAAACTCAAATAGAAAAGAATATAGCTTTCGATATTGAGCATCGATGCCAAGTTTAGGGACCTAAAACAGAAGATTTATTTGAATTATATTATACGCAAAACTATTTACAAAGAATTAAACAATTAATTATGCTTTAAAGAAATGTGTACAAAATTATAGTAATATTGTTCTCAGAAATAGAATAGTTACATGACAAAATTTGTTTAGAAATTTCATACTTCTGTGGAAATATTTTTATTTTCAGAGAATTTTAAAAAATTTGAATATTATAATTCTATTTCATTTTCATATATTCTTAATTATATTTTGCATTTGAAAAATTGAGTATTACTATTTCTTTTAAAATAACTATATTCAATTCATAATATTTTTAAGGAACAACAACTTTTTTAAAACAAACTTTTTTTATTAAATTCGTCAATTCAATATGAGAAAACTAATTTCCTAGTTATTCTTTAAATTGTACATTTTTTAATTATTAATGTTGAAAGAAAATATGACCATTTGCTGTAACCCCAAAGCGACCCATTTTTACTTATTTTTCTCGACAATTCATAAGTATTTTTATTACAATAAAATGAATTTCCACTGATAAAGCATAATCACTCAAAAAAGTTTTTATTGCTATTTCTGAAATGATCAGAAGAATTTTTAAATGTTTTCTTTTCGCTTTCAGTAAAATCATATAATTGTCGCTTGTTCCCTTTTGTCATTACACCCTTCGAGTGATATGCTCTTATAAATACCTGATAGTGGATATGAAGGAATCACTTCCTCGAAGTAGTTCATTATTTTAGGATGATGCTCTCTTCTCTTTCTTTTTGCTAATATAATTCGACGAATGTTTACTCGACTGCTATCGCCAAACATTATCAAATATTCCCATTAATATTGCTGGGTTTGCAAATACATCCAGAACATTTGAATTTATATTTTCTGACATATCGTTATAAGACTTAATTCCAGTTCCACGAAAGTTTAATTCAGCAAGAAATTCTCTGAAAGTATTAAAAAAATGAAATACTAAAAGTAATTTGAAGAAAATAGTAGAATACCAGACATTTACAAGAATAAATTATGAGCAAATGAATTGAAATTCCATATACTACAAGCGATTATAATAAATTAAAATTATTGGCATACGACTTCTCAATTTTCAAAAGAATATAAAGAAGTTCAAAACAAATAAGAGTAAAAAAATAATACCTCAAAGTATTATTGTCCGAGATAATCTCAATAATAGAAATTAAAATACTCAAGTCAAACGCACTACAAATTGTGTTTGGATTCGAATAAAATTCATCTGCAGTCGTTATTTGAGTAAAATCATACTCTAAGTTTTTATTTCCTGAAATAAAAAATAACTTTATAAATAACAATTTTTCTAATTAATGAAAGTATTGAATGTCATCCTTATTTTTTCGATTCAAGCTTTCTTTTTCAATGTCTAAAATCAAATAAGGTTATTCGAAACCTAAATTTAATCATCAAGTTACATAATTTTTAAATAAGAGACTGAACAATATTACATCAATATTACCTTTAAATGAGTTATCGTATTTGGAGAAACTATAAACGCTTTGATCAAATCATCGGCAAACATTTATTTTATTTTTCTTCAAGTCCGTTTGTCAGCATTTTCAGATTAATGGTTTTCCTTAAAAAAAATAAAAATTCTTTAAAAAATGCCAAGTAATATTTGTATATAAAATTAATCAATAAAATTTGATGAATTTATTTTGTAAAAACATCGTCGAAAAACTTTTGAATATATAAATATATTAAACAAATGTAAGTAAATATATGACATTAAAACTAACCTTAAAACCTTTTTTTCAAAAAATCTCGAGTATGAAAATAGATAAAAGAATAAAATGTTGATGATTTGCCGATATCCTCCTTCAAAGTTTTAAATACATTTCAACACTGAAAACAGTATTTATTTTTTTCTTTATCCACAAAATCACTTAAAATATACAGCTGTACAATTGAGTTATTTGGTCTGCGGTATTCACAAAGTTTTCACACAACATATATATAATGTAAAAGGCACTTCTACAACAATCTTTTCATAAGTAAAGGTCTAAGCACAACCACTTCGCGAACGTCATTCACGAACGCAAAGCATGTGTTAGAAAAGGACAGAGATATATATTTGTGCCCTTTTCTATTTCATCTATCTCGTTCGTAAACAACTTTCGCGAATCTATTGTACGTTGTACTTAAAGGCCTTAACAAAATGAAGAAGTGATACGGAAATAGAACACGCAGAAGAAATGACAGAATATAGAAAACAGCTGGATTCGTCATTGCAAAGAAAAGAATGAATTAAAGAAGGGTAGGTGTATTGTTTATCCTCCTGGAACTCATTCCGTTTACGTTTGCGGCTACGATTAAGGTTGCGTTTTTATTCTGCTTTGGCCTGTCCGATGACGCTTTATGCCAGCATACAACGTGCCTTAACTTTGTAAATGCGTCATTAGTTCAGAGAAATTCAGGGGACGAAGCTGGTTTTTTTAGTGCAATCGGTACATTCAGTCACAAAGTGTAAAAGGTTACCTATCATAAAATTGTGAAGAAAGAAAATAATTTTTGTGCTCTTGAAAGCTGTAGAAAATAAATATTTTCTTTTATAGTTCAGTTATTACGTAAGTAAATTTTTATTTCATTTAAATAAATTATATAAAATTTTAATCATATATAACCCGCCTCGAGAGAAAAATTTACCGAAATTATTAATAATGCTATATTTGTCAATATTTTTCTTTAATTCAAGTTTTTGTTTTTAATGTCTTAAATTAAATAAGGTTATTGTTTGAATGTTTTTTTGTATTATGTACAATTTTTATTGAATATTTTGTATGTAATAAGGATTAAAATATCATTAATTTGCACAGAAAATTAATTTTCTTTATTTATTATCATTTCAAAATTATTATTAAAATATTAAGTACCTTTTATCGTCGAGTCTGATATATAATGTAATTTGATTTTTCAATTAAATAACGTTTTTATAATTACCTCAATGATTTATTTTCTTTGCAGAAAATGTCGGACAAATTATTGAAAAAGAAAGGAGACGATAAATACTAAAATGTTCATAAGGCAGATTATAAAATATTGGAGATGACAGAAAGTGCCCTAAAAAAAATCCAGGATGTTGAAAGGTTATTGAAAGGTATGAATAAAGATTTACTTTACCTGTTTGGAAAAGGAAATATTTAAGTTACTAATGTCGTTACAAATAAAGTATCTTAATTATTGTCGTGATTTAATAGAATAATATAGAAAGTACATTTCTTTAGTATTGATATTTTTTCAGATCTAAACGTGGAAGAAGAAAATTCTCTCAAGAATTATATTAACAGATGTCTCTATGATCAAGAAGATTTATTGTTTCAATTTTATATAATTTCTTGCCAATTGAAATTATTATTAAGTGCTAAAATTTTAAGCAGACCTTATTTAAATAAAATTTTGAATAAAATCTTAACAGATGTTGGAATATTGGATCCTTGCAACAGAGTTCAATTATTTTGTGCACTGCATCCGCTAGATATTTTTCAGCTTAATTTGCTTCTGAAAAAAGGTTTCGCGCAATTCGGATTGAAAATGCCAAATTTGGAGTACCGCAAATTTATTGCAGATCCCACAATTCCACTGCCGTACACTTATGCAAATAAAGAGAAAACATTAATGCATAAAGCAGAAAGTGGTTTATTCAATAATAAAAGAAAAAAAGGTTTAATGGATAATCCTTTCTTGTTAAAATTATTTCTAAGAGCTGTATGGATCTATAAAGATGAAATTTACAAATGTTTTGAAAACAATGAATTAATTCCATTGTCAATTTTAAAAGATATAGCTTTCAAAACAAAGGGAAATACTACTCTGAGTAACCGACAAAGTACGGTTTTATTTATTGCGACTTGTTCATTTACGATTTATTCAAATCGTGAAATATTGCAAGCTTTGATGGAAGTATTTGATGAGTCATTTACACTAGAATATCGAGAAAAAATTATGTTTAAATTTGCGGAATTATTCGAAACTGACGAAGCAATGTTCTTAGATTTATTGAATGAAAGATCGGACACTGACAGTTCTGAATATCCATTATTTTATAATTCGGAACAAATTACACCATTTAGAACGGGAAGTGTTAATACGTTTTTCGGACCACAATACCCTATAAGCATTACCACATCAGAGGTGCAAAAAGAAACAGGAATCCGAGGAAAATATAAAAGAGTTCTAAAAAGAAAACCAGGTAAAATTGGATTAATTTGATTTTATAATAAATTAAAATATTGAGATTAATATTGATTTACAACAATTTCCTAGCCTTATTTATTCTATAGAACTATTGTTTTTAATTTTTCAAAACTTTTATTTAAACGAAATCACAAAAAATATATATACATAAATTTTTTGATTTTGTAAGTTTTTTCGAATGTTAACTCTTCAAATTTTAAAAAATTACTAAATTCATAAAATACAGAAATATTTCATGTTCTTTGTTATTTAAAGTTTAACGTTTGTGTTGAAATAAATTTTTTTAAATTGCTCAGGAAATATATCTGAGATATTTTGAGAAATTTAAAATAAATTCTAATAAAATGAAAATATTATTGTTAATTAAGATATCTAGCTGAAATGTATCGAAAGATATATTCTATTATGAAAAATAATATTTAGAATAATATTATTTATTGCATTTTTGTGTGTTAATTAATAATAATATAACATAATTTTTAGATCAAAAAGCACATGATTGTGACGAATCTGATGATGATGATGATGATGATTCGACATCAGAATCTATTGAATCGACAAAAACTGGATTATCTTCCAAAAAAAGGAAGCCTCCACTTTCAACTTCGAGTGAAAGAAACGTCGATTGTAAGCATACAAAATTTGTAATTTTCTTTAATTAAGAATATTTTTTAAGACTTATTTATAAAATTATACGTGACGGATAAAAGCAGTTTAAATCTGTAAAAATAAATTTACATTTAGTGGTATTTGAATACATTTAAAAAAATGCTAAACTAAAATTTTAACTTTTACAGATGGACAGGAAGAACAAAAAGAAACAACCACTTTAAATAGTTCTCAAATGAACACAATGCCATCAGAGAAATCGTCAAAGGATTCTGACAGTAAGAACAAGAATTTTTAATATATATTTTATTAAATACAAATTTCTTTAACCGAATAAATTTATTTGTTTATATAGTCAAATATCTAAAGTTTTAAAAACAGTTGTAATTTATGTACAGTGAAATTTATTACATTAGTATTTAAACACCACTTAAAATTTATTACATTAAGAAAATTATAAATTACAGATGCACAGAATAAACAAAATAAGAAAACTATTTTGAGTACTCCTGTAAGGAGAAAAGTGTCAGCACAAAAATCGTCCAATGAATGTAATAGTAAATATATAAAAGTTTTTTATATTTTATAAAAGGGAGCGTTCATAAACTACGTAGCATGCTAAGGGGGAGGGGGGGGGGTTCGGAAAAAGTCTACGCTAGTCTACGTGGGGGAAGGGGGGGAGATCGACTCTTACTACGTAGTTAATACATATAAGCTAAAATTAATTTTGCAAACTTACTACCCGTCGCCATTGTTAAATGTTGCTATATGCCAAGAATAATATATTTTATTCAGAATATTTGACATTGTTTTTAATTTAATTTTTAATTGTTTTTAATGCGAATATAGTTAAATATGCAGTTTGAAAAAAAAACTACGTAACACACGGGGGGAGGGGGGGGATTCATCAAAAGTCTACGTTAGTCTACGCAGGGGGAGGGAGGGGTCAAAAAATGACAAAAATAGGTCTACGTAGTTTATGAACGCTCCCAAAGTATTATTCTATGTTTTAATTCTCTCTCTTCGAAATTTCAGGTGTGCAGAGAAAAGAAAATGAAGTAACCGTTTCAAAAGTAAATGAAAAAATGGAGTTGGCTCCTTCGGGTAAAAGTAAGTAACTTTTCGTAAGTAGTAATAGTAGTACAGTAGAGACCCCATTATCCGGATTTTTGATTATCCGGACAAATTTCAAATATTTTTTTTTGGTTTTTAATTTTAAATTTTATAAGCATTTAATACCTTAAATTTTTGAATTTCCATACGAAACGTTGCGTTTTAATGTATTTTTACACGGAAAAAAATTTTATCTGGAACAGCGATAAGTTTCTCTAAAATAGTGAAAGTCTTAACTGAAACAACTAAACGTTTGGCTAATCTAGCAAAATTTGTAGCTGTTCCAGGTGAATATTTTTTTCCGTGTATGATTTAAGAAAATGTTTATGTAAATCTTTTGAAATTTCTAACCAAATTTCGTTTATTTTGTACTTTTTTCGATTATCCGGATAGATGCCTGCATCTATTAATCGGGATAATGGTGTCTCTACTGTAGTAACTTTTAAATAGTTATCAATAAAAAGTTTTATTTTTTATGCAATGGTAATTTTCTCTTATAAATCATAAGATATAAAAAGAAAATTACTTAAGAATTAATACTTTAAAATTTTGTGGAAGAAAATTTATTTAACATTTAAAATAATACTTATTTTTTAATAATATTAAAATATTTTGATTTTTTGATAAGTTTGAACCAGCAGTGGCACTACGAAAGAGTAACAGACTAAAAGAGGGAAAAAAGTAAAAACTCTTCCACCTATTTTTCATGTATTTCTTTTAACATGCAATATTTGTAAATTCCTAATTAATAAAAATAAATAATTAAGACAATCAATAAAATTATTGATTCACAAGAATTCATAGTTACTTTATATAGAAAGTGGAACTGTTCTGATTTATTTCATTTATTCCATACTTTTGTGCAAAATTTTATTTTTATCTCATTACTTCAAATGACATCAACTAATAACAATTAGAGTTTTTAAAAAAAGTCTTCTTAAAAGTATTATTATAAAAGTAATGAACAGAAAATAAACTAAATTTTTTTTAAACCACTGAATCTTGATTAAAAAACAATTAATTCAATTTTTTATTAGAAATGCTTAAACGTTAATCTTCTTTTAAAATGTTTACATTTTTGTTACAATTTTATAGAAAAAATAATACATGTGAAGTAAATTATTTATATACTAATTTATCTAAACAATTTACTTACTAATTAATGCTGACAATAAATCAATTTAGAATACTTTTTTTGTATAATATTAAATTTATTATTTGCGTTATCTGCAAACTTATAAAATTATCTTTTGCCTAATGAATGTATGAAAACTATTTATAATTTATTTTTTTGTTAAATAAATAAGTCAAAAATTTTATATTATAATTATTTATTGTAGTTTCCGCTTCTATTATTTAAAAATTTGAAACATTAATTTCCGCTCAAAATATCTCTCTCCTCGCTCCCTTAACCTTGATGGAGCGATAGCTACAAATGCCAAGACGGTTTAAACGCAACCTCATCTCATTACATTTCTTACAAAACACAACCTTTTACCTCAAAATCACTAAAAATTAAAGCCTGTCTCGCATTCTTCTCTTGCGCTGCGTATTTAAACCAATCAACTTTGATTAATACTGGTTGACAACCACTTCGCTCCCGGAGTTCGCTCCAAACAAACATCTCGTAAACACCCCGGATAAGTTGAATTTCTAGTAAATTATAATATTCGAACACATGTACATTCTGATGAAGTAGATTTCTATCAAAAAGATTTTCGGCAATATTCAGATTCTATTTAATTACGCTTATGCAAACTTACGATTCTACGAAAAAACGATTCGCATAAATTATTGTAACAACTGCACAAAATGAATGTCGATTGTTACAATACCAAGAATCATCTATATGTTATAGATGATTGTTAATTAACCCTCTAATGGCCGAGTTTTTTGCCGTTATTATAAATGTATAATGTTTAGTAAATTCGATTATTCTATTATTCAATATGAGAAAAACATTTTTTTAACATGTTTCACCCCTTAAAACCACCCTTAACGTATATTACTACCCAAAAAAATTGATAATTAATCTAAGTGATAAATTAAATATTTTTTAGCTCCTGTCTGCTTTATAATTATTTATAAATATTCTCTGGTTGTTCAAAAATAAAAAATAATTATAAATAACCACTTGAACACCACCCTTAAAGTCAAATAGCCACCCCTTGACGATAATAGTTTTTGTGAATATTTAAAAAAAATCTATATATGGGTGATTCTCCTGAAAGGGACCCTTTTTTTGTTGAATTTCCAAAAAATCAAATTATTCTTTTTTTGTTACTTTTCTTTCATAAATAAGTTTAGAAAATGTTTAATGATAAAAATATAAGTTGCGCAAAATTAATTTTCAGAAATAAGACCTCCAGGAACATTTTACTATCATGTGTTCTAGAGGTTAAGTATAATTAATTATAACTTTTAAATTAATTATTTTGTAAAAAAAACTCGGTAGGAATATTTTTTTTAAATAAGAAATTGTTATGTTTTAATTAATTGCACTTTTTGCTTGTATATTTTATTTTTATTAAATTAATAATTTAATTTGAGGGTTAAATATTTCAAAACAATGATTAAAAAATTAAAAACAAAAGAAAACGCCTATCAAATATAAAAAAGGCTTCGGAGATGAATTGATAATTTAATGAAAAAATTCTCATTTTTTCTAATTTTAAAAATATTACAATTTTTTAAACAATATTTTTAGTTTTAATCATCAAATATTTTCACATCGATTACATATTATGTTTAAAACGTTAAAAAATATGATGTTATTATATAGAAAATGAGGCTTCGGAGATGAATTTAATTTTTACTCTCATTGATAATACTATTTTAATTAATAATTTAAATACCGTCAACCGGGGCTATTTTGTGCACCAAATAGTTTTTTTTTATTCAAAGATTTATTTAAATTCAGAATTAAGAGAATAAAGAAAATCAACTTTTGACATATGTTGTGGACATCCTTCTGAAGGTTTCCTATAAATTTTGCAAAGAAAAAAATTTTTTTGTCTTAGTTATAGTCATTGAAAGTCGTAAAAACAATAACTCCCGGAATGGGGCTATTTTGTGCATCGAACTTTGTTTTTCTATAATGTTGCGTAAACAATTTTTTTAATCGTTTCTGTTTCATAAAATCTTTTGTGTATATATTTGAGAGTAAATTAAAAAAAGAATGACCTAGTAAAAATTTTTTTGTAGATATATTATACAAAAAATGTAAAATAAAGCACTAAAATTTTGCTAAAATCTGGATTTACTAAAAATTAACAATCTTTCTTTAAATTGTATATTACGCAGATAGTAAATAAAATTTTTTTCTTTTTTAATATATATTTTATAATAATATACTAATATAATTATAAAATGATCGTTTAAACACTTATAAATAACTTTAAAACATCATTTCAATAGAAGCTTTTTTAATGGTTTTGAATGATATTTTTAAAAAACTTGAAATAAATATTTTTAAGGTTAAATAGATAACAATTTAATATCTAATATGATTTTTAAGTTATTTTAAGAGAAACGAGAAAATAGTTTTAAAACTAATTTGAAAAACTTATAAACATTAATTAATGTTCATTTTTTAAGGTTACGTTGTGCACCGGTAGAGCTTTTAATCGTTTTAATGATTTTAATTAACGTTTTTACAGTTTTTTGACAGAAAAGCAAGACAAAAATGTATAAAAATGATAAACAGAATCTTCTTTACTTACTAAATAAAATATTTATGAAAAATATTTGATTTTTTTAGGTGCACAAAATAGCCCCATGGAATCCTGGTTTTTCAGTTTTTTTCACTTTTCTCTTAAAATAATGAATAAAAAGTTAGCGCATTACGTATGTATCATCACAACACAATTAAAAACAAATATCTAACACAGTTTATGAGACACATTAAAACTCTAGAAGATCTGGTATAATTTTTCCGAACTTTCAAAATTTTTTAAACAAATTTTCCGTTTTTAGGAATATTTTCCTCTTAATTGCCAAAGAATTAAATAATAACATTTAGTGCTCTCTATTGTCATGTAATCAAACTTTCATTTTACAAAATAGCAGATTAAAATAATTCATTTTAATAATTTTTTTCATTAAAAAACTCGCGTGCACAAAATAGCCCCCGGATGCACAAAATAGCCCCAGTTGACGGTAACTTTTTTACCTTATTTTAAACAAATGTAAGTAAAAAATAATCCTTATATTCTAAACTTTAATTTGATATATATCATAAATATGTTGAAATTGTTTAAATACGTTAAAATATAATTATAAAATATACATTCGGTTTAACCAAAATTCGATGACAAAATTAAATATGTTTTTTAAATAGGAAGAAATTTAAATATAAGCAATAGAAGATTATATAAAGATAGATAAATCTTCGTAGATTATAAATAAATTTTTCAAAAAATTTAAACTTGATAAAATATTAATGAAAAATTAATTTAAATAATGAACCTCATGTTGGAGACACGTGAAGTGGTCCCTTTCAGGAGAATCACCCATATTCTAAGTGCATCTAAATTATAAAAAAATGTTTCTAAGTGACACAAATATGGATAATAATGTTAAACACCCCCCTTGGAACCCACCCCTATTTCATAATTATTCCTACATACTGTGAATAGTTTTGAACAATTAAAAAAATAATTTCCATAGATTCTATACGTTTCGAAAATACAAAAAAATATTTTTATGATGACTAGGTAATGATAGTAAATGTAAACTACCCTCTAAAAACAACCCTATGGTCAAATAACCACCCCTTGTTGATAAAAGTTTTTGTGAATGATAAAAAAATCTATAGCTTCTAAATGCTTTTAAATTATAAAAAAATGTTTCTAAGTGACACAGATATGGTGGATATCACGTCAAAAGTCCACCCAAAAAAAAATGTTGTCCAATTATTCCCAAATTTTTTTATGATATGCCCTATAGGTTAGTAACTTGTCAGATAAATATTTTTAAATTTTATAAAAAATTGTCCGAGGGGGAGGGGGTAGAAGTTCTGAACTTTTGCGTGACACGCTCCACTTCGATTATTTCTTATAATTAGAGGAAAAATTTTTTTAAAAAATTAGGATATGGGTTTTTTAGATTTTTTCATGGGCTTTCGAATGGCACAGTCTATTTTCAAAATTTTTTTTATTTTGACACAAATTTTGAAAAAATAAATTTTCATTTTTCGCATCTTTGGGTCCATTTTTTCTTTTTCCTTTTATTTTTAAATGAAAGCTGAGCTTTTTTTTGATGAAATACTTGTTTTCCAAAAAACCGTTTTTTTTGTTTTCGAGAAATGAATTTTTGAATATAGCCCATCACATCGTCGCGCCGCAATTTAATTTATAAAACGTTCCATTGAACTATTTTCTGCATTTTACAGGGTTGAGACTGACATTAGAACAATATAATTCCTGCATTATAGTTTCTTTTTATTTTTTTAAATGAAAAAAAATATTTAATTTTTTAAAATTTTTAACAAAATTTTTTTGCAATTTTATTTTTAATTTAATGCCTGTATTTTATTTTTTTGTTGGCTTTTTTTTACTTTAGCTGTTCTCAACTTTGTCTCTGCATTTTTTGTTTTAGTGCCCATACTTTTTGAATCTTTTGATGCTAGAAACTCCACATAATTTAAAGCCAACGAAGTTATTTTAACACTGAAAAAAAAGTTCATTGAATCAAGTAAATGCATTTT